ACTCAGACTGGAGTCTAGCACGCTTCCCCTTCCCCATCACGAAACCGTGTTAGTGGTGTCCAGTGGGCTGAGGAAGTGTTTCTGGTAGGAATGACTGCTAGCAGCGTTGGAGCATGACCTGCAGAAGAGTGGGGGAGTGTTGTGTTTGAATGGATGTTTGAAGTGGTGGGAGGGGTGTGGACTTGTTATTTAGAATGTGCATCTATTGAAAATGAGGTACATTTTCATGTGCAAAAGCATATGTGTTTATAGGTTATATGTAAATTATTCTATATTAAACCTGTAATCTCTGGGGCTGTCCTCAGCACGGAGGGGGCAGCCCTCTGGTCTCTTCCTGTTCAGCACTTGCTGCTTTGACTCTCTGTTCTCTGTCCAGATGGTAATGAGGAGTCTCTGATTTGCCACTCCATTTTTATTTAACTTTTTTTCCCGTCTCGCCAGTTATTTAACTTTTCTTAATTGTAGAGCCAATAGTGAGCTCTTTAAAGTGATCCTTTGGGGTTAACTCCTGTGCCCTGGTTGCTTCTTAAAATGTTTTTGTCCAGGGCCGAGCCCATGGTGCACTCGGGAGAGTGCGGTGCTGGGAGCGCAGCAGCAATCCCACCGTGGGTTCGGATCCTATATAGGGATGACGGTGCGCTCACAGCACTCACTGGCTGAGCACAGTGCGGCCGGTCTTAAAAAGGACAAAAAAAAAAAGTTTTTGTCCAAATAGCACACCCCGACCCGCCAACTTCTGTTCCACTTTTTCCTGTTGTGTTTGAATCGATGTTTGAAGTGGTGGGAGGGGTGTGGACTTGTTATTTAGAATGTGCATCTATTGAAAATGAGATACATTTTCATGTGCAAAAGCATATGTGTTTATAGGTTATATGTAAATTATTTTATATTAAACCTGTAATCTCTGGGGCTGTCCTCAGCACGGAGGGGGCAGCCCTCTGGTCTCTTCCTGTTCAGCACTTGCTGCTTTGACTCTCTGTTCTCTGTCCAGATGGTAATGAGGAGTCTCTGATTTGCCACTCCATTTTTATTTAACTTTTTTTCCCGTCTCGCCAGTTATTTAACTTTTCTTAATTGTAGAGCCAATAGTGAGCTCTTTAAAGTGATCCTTTGGGGTTAACTCCTGTGCCCTGGTTGCTTCTTAAAATGTTTTTGTCCAGGGCCGAGCCCATGGTGCACTCGGGAGAGTGCGGTGCTGGGAGCGCAGCAGCAATCCCACCGTGGGTTCGGATCCTATATAGGGATGACGGTGCGCTCACAGCACTCACTGGCTGAGCACAGTGCGGCCGGTCTTAAAAAGGACAAAAAAAAAAAGTTTTTGTCCAAATAGCACACCCCGACCCGCCAACTTCTGTTCCACTTTTTCACGGGGATTCTCTCTGAGGGGTGGGGAAGAATGAGGCTGAGAAGAGGGCACGGGAGCTCGCTGACTGCTGACGTTCCTCTTTCCTTTGTTCTAGTGTCGAGCTTCGTCCATGCCCTAGACAAGTTTAACTCTCACTTCCTGTCTGCTGCTTATCTCTCTTTCCACCTTGTGCTTCAGTTGGGAGATCTGTGTATCAGCACCTGTCACACTACCCTTTGTTCCCTCTGCAGAGGACATTTAGGTCCAAGTGCTGGTCCTTTTGACTAATTTTGCTTTCAAGATCCCAGTTCCCGGTCTGAGGCTGCCTCCCCCATTACCATCGCTGTCCTATGGACTGGAGGCATGGTCCTTTCCTGCCAGGGACATCCACGTTTCCTCAGGGGCAAGGCGCTAGCTAATCATGAGCAAGGAACTAATTGCTTGAGTAATCTGCCTGCCTCTGGAGAGGCGGGTGGAAGGAGTGTGCATGAGGGGTCACTGTGAGCATGGCGGGGGGCGTAAGTGGAGTCCCTGTGTTAAGGTGGGAGTCTGCAGGGAGTTGAGCCTGCCACATTTCCATCGCATTGGGTTTTATGCTGTGAGAGTCTCTCAGAGATAAATCATCTTCCCAGGACTCCTCCCCTTTCCTTACCTTACACTGGAAGCCCACACCGTGTTTCCTTATGTCTTGAGGGAGAGGTTCTGAGCCACTTACAAACTAGATAAAATACATTTACACCTAAACTACATTTTTTGTTTGTTTGTTTAAAGTACATTTCAATCTTAGTTCTCCTTTGCTTCTTCTGTTCCATCTCGGTCTGAAGCTGTTTTTCTCAACCATTTTGATGACTAGGGATCTAAATCCTTTTCTGTCTAGGTGTCAGCTCCCCTCAGGTTTGGGCTCAAATGGTTGGATTTATAAGACACCAGACACCTGCCTTAGTAGCTCCCTTGGATTCTGCACTGAATGGTCTGTTTCTTGACCAAGAACAAACTCAGAGGGCAGTCTAAGGATCGCTTTACAGCGCCTTCTCAGATTGTCATGCCTTCTGATCCCTCAGTTTCTCCATAAGCCCCAGGCTTTGGGACGGTGCTTCTCTCAGCCCCACTCCACCTTGCCCCATGCCTAAGTGGTCTCTCTCCTGAATTCCCCAGATTTCATACCAGTGTGCCCAGGGCTCTTTGACAGCTCGGTATAAGCATTCATTGTCTAAAATTCATTTATTCCAACGCTCACATTTCTTTCTTTCTTTTTTCTTTCTTTTTTTTTTTTGGTGGCCAGTATGGTGATCTGAACCCTTGATCTTGGTGTCGTAACACTGTACTCTAACCAACTGAGCGAATGCTCACATTTCTAACTATAGAACAAGAATTATAAACAACAGTGATCATAGGCCATCGGCTCCCCACTCTCCCCCCTCTCATTTTATACATGAGAAAGAGCCTTGCCCCAGGTCTCGTAGCTATTGAAGATAGACCTCAGCCCAGGTCTCCTGTCTTCTAGTTGAGTAGACTGAATGGCACCACAAAAACATCTTCCCTGCATATAGAGGCTGCTTTTTGTTTGGTATATTTATCCAACTGGGAAGTTACTAGTGCCCTCATCTAAAAATATAATAGAGGCAGATGAGTGCTGATAGGAATAGGAAGTGTAATTCTTGGCTTTGGAACCACAAGCATTAGCACTCTCCACGTTTTTTTAAAGACTCAGTGACGTTGGTATCTGGGCTGGACACCATGCAAAGACTGCATAGGCCTGGTTCCTGCATGCAGAGAAGTTATCTAAAAGATATGACCAGGCCAGAATGGAATCCTCAGACCACATGGAGGCGGTTAAACGCTCACATTAATCTAGGGAAAGAATGAACACAAAGCTGGCATTAGTCTAGGCTCAGGTGTATGAGGGTATGCTAAAAAGTCTCTTTAGCTCAGGAAAACTTTGTGGAAAGAATTGAACTTCAGAGGTGCAAGTGCCTAGGACATCAAATATTATGCGATTGCAGCGTGCAACCCTAAGGGGCAGGTGGAAGTTTCCAAACAACCTCTGTGTAAGGATGGAGTGAATTTCAAGTCAGCCCTGGTGAGACCAGATGGCTTCTTCCTGCCCCGCACTCACAGTGAGGTCACAATCAGTAAGCCCAGATTTCTTCTTCCCAGGTGCTGCTCCATACCTGAAGACCAAGTTTATCTGTGTGACACCGTAAGTGGCTTCCCTTCCCAAATTTGCGTTCATTTCTAATGTCCTCAGTTGTCCCCCTGGGAATAGGATGCTGGGTGAGAGTTATCCTGTGATGGGTTGGAAGCCCTTAGACTGTGTTTAGTACTCAGTGTGACCTTGTGTGTTTAAAAAGCTTGAGCTTTTACTTTTCTGTTTGAAACCAGAGTTTGATGGCTTGTGTGTGTATGTTCTGTTCTTTTTTTTTTTCCCCCTCCATTGTGTCTTGTCAACCCGGCCCTTTCCCCTCCTGCTGCTCCCCATTTCCTACAGAACGACCTGCAGCAATACCATTGACCTGCCGATGTCCCCCCGCACTTTAGATTCATTGATGCAGTTTGGAAATAATGGTGAAGGTGCTGAGCCCTCAGCAGGAGGGCAGTTTGGTGAGTATTTGGTTGGTAGACTTTGTCCCTATGAGGGAAATCAGTCCGCTTCGTGTAATGCTCATGTGTACAGAGCCAAGAGCTGGTCACCTGGATTGGTAGGAGGTTCTAGAGCAGCGCTCTCCAGTAGAAATGGAATATACGCCACATGTGTAAATGTAAATTTTCGAGTGTCTACATTAAAAACAGTAAAAAGAAACAGGTGAAGTTAGTTTTACAGCATGTTTTATTTACTCCTGTAAACCCAGCATACTGTCATTTCAAGGAACAACGAGTGAGGTGTTTTTCCATTCTTTTTTTCGTGCTGAGTCTTTGAAATTCACTGGGCTTTTGACAGCTACGGCACACCCCATTTGGACTGGCTGCTCCTCAGCTGCTCGGGAGCTGTCTGCGGCTTGAGGCTGCCATGTTAAACTGGGCAACCTTAGGTCTTGTTTAAACATGGAGAGCTGGGAATGGGTTAAGGTAGAGAGGAGACTGAGCCCTTCCAGAGGCAGGTCCTGGAAGGAGAGTAAGTCTATTTTTTTTTTTTTTTTTAACCTGTCTTGGCCTTAAGAGACAAGAGCTTGGATAGCAGTGGTGGCCTGAGCCCTGTCCTCTGAAGGGCTGGGGGGTGGGGTGTCCCCTGCCAGCTACAGGGATAGGCAACTGAACTAGCTCTCCCTGTCTGTCCTTCCAGAGTCCCTCACATTTGACATGGAGTTGACCTCGGAGTGCGCTACCTCCCCCATGTGAGGCGCTGAGAACGGAAGCTGCAGAAGAGATATGTCTGAGGCACCTACCTGTGTTCCACCGCCCCTTACACAGCCAAACCCCAGATCATCTGCAACTCCTCACTTTGTGGCTCCAGATTTTTTTTTTTTTTTTTTTTGTGGCTGGCTGGTACAGGGATTCAAACCCCCATGTGAGGCGCTGAGAACGGAAGCTGCAGAAGAGATATGTCTGAGGCACCTACCTGTGTTCCACCGCCCCTTACACAGCCAAACCCCAGATCATCTGCAACTCCTCACTTTGTGGCTCCAGATTTTTTTTTTTTTTTTTTACTTCTGCTATCTTTGAGCAATTCAGGCACTTTTAAAAATAGAGAAATGAATGAATGTGGGTGATATGCTTGTATCTAAATGCAAATAGGAATGTATTCTCTGAGACCGTGGTCAGGGTACATGGAACGGGGTGGCTAGAGGGAGAAAAGGAAATCTCTTGTGTGTTTTTGTTCCCCTGCCCTCCTTTCTCAGCAGCTTATTGTTGTTGTTGTGTTGTTAGACAAGTGCCTCCTGGTGCCAGCAGCGTCCTTCTGCCTATTTCTGTAAGCTCGTGCCACAGGCCGCCTGTACTGCACCCTCCCGGCATCGCACTTTTAATCTTGCTAACATCCAAATAGAGAATGGGACGATCTAAGCCCCTAGGTTTCTTTTTTAAATTGAAGAATAGTAATAATACTTAAAGGGCAAAAAACTGTATCAGCATAGCCTTTCTGTATTTAAGAAAACCTAGTAAACAGCCTCCTTGGTGCTTTAAGCATTCAGCTTTCTTCAGGCTGATAATTCACATAAACCCTGAAATGAGCTTCAGGTCAAACCCTTAAAATACATCTGAAGCTGTGGCTTGCCCTTTGGTTTGAGGAGAACCTAAACATTTTAGAGTTTTTTTATAAGCAGATTTTTATTTTCCCTTGTAATGTGTTGGCCTTTTAGTGGGTAAGGCTGGGCAGAGGGCACTTAAAACCTTCCCTCCCTTTCTCTCTGGACTTTAGCTCCTGTTCCAGAACCTAGGTTGTTTCTGTGGGTGCCTTATCAGGGCTAGGATGATTCTGGCTTCTTTCCCCCCAGTTCACTTGACTCTACGAGTGGCATGTCTCCTTCCAGTGTCTAAAGGTCCTTTGTCCTGTTTGCTTTAGGAATCCTGGTCTCAGGACCTTATGAAAAAAGGAAAGAGTTACAGGTGAACAAGACTCAGACTATGGGGCCCCAGCGAAGTGTCTAGTTGAGCTCAGGGAAGATGGTTCTTATCCAGTTTCTTGGTGATTTCTAGCAGCACCTGTAATCACTTCTTCACTTGGCCAGTACAGGGCAAAGGCTGACTGATAAACTCGAGGTCTGCCCCTCGTGTGAGGGGCATACGCCTGGCCTCCCTTGGGGCTGGTAGCTCTCTCCTCGCCATTGGGGCCCCACATGTGAGGCATCACAGCTTGAGTGCCTGCCCCTCCTTTGGCCTTTGTGGCTGCCTGCCAGCCTCCACCAGCCAGCTCACCCTCATCGTGCATCTGGGCGCACTTGGCAGTGTGCTGGGTGGGCTTCCTCTAACCACAGGCACGGCTAGACTTGGTAACTTAAAACCACCTTGCCTCTGTGGATCAGAGTTTCTGTTCTGTTTGTTAGACCCAAATTAGCTAGTTTCTGAATTAAGGGGGTAAGGGCCTTCTCTCCAAAGTGGCCATCCCTGTCCTTGTACCCAGAAATGGTTGGCATGTAGTACTGAGCCCTCCCCTCTCCAGCAGCACTCTTAGTTCATAATAAGCTTAACTCACACACTGAGAGAATATTTAGAAAGATGAGACTTACTATTGCGTTTAAGTCATTGGGAACCGGGAACAGGGTTTGGACTTCTCTGGAGCAGATGCTGTAAAATTCTTTACAGGCTTTAGGTAGCATGCACATCTGCTTTTAACTGATTGTAGCAAAAGTTCTGAGAGGAGCTGAGACTTGTCCTGGCCCCTCCCTTAAAGAACGGAGTCCTCAGGACTTGCCCACTTCTCCACTGCCCCTGCCTGTCCCCAGCCCAGCCAAGGGACTCCCATGGTTCTCTTAACCTACCTATACAGTGGTTTGTAAGCTGCTCTCAGCCACTGCATTCAAATTCCAATGTATACTTCATAGTGTAAAAATTTATATTATTAATGGGTTTTGGTGTTTTTTGTTTTTTGTTTTGTATATTGCTGTAACTACCTTAACTTCCAGAAATAAAATTTATATAGGAACCGTTTGATAGCATGGCAGCTCTGTCTGTGGCTGGTGGAGGCTCCCTTCTCCCCCGCTTAAGTTCTGAGGGGGCCTCACACACAGGCAGAACCTGGGATGGCAGCACAGAAGGGTCTTGAGAGAAGGTGGCTGCCCCGGCGCTGGGGCTGAAGGTACCTTAGCCTCATTCCTGAGTTGATGCTGGGCTCCTGTCTGAGGTTAGCCACCAGCCTCGAGGTAAGGGGTGACTGGAGGAGCAGAGGGTCACAATCCAACAACAGCTAGTGTCAGCATGGAGGCCTCCTTCCGCCAACCTCTCCCTCCCTTTACCCCCTCCCAAAGCTGCTGCGTCCTGTCTGGGGTCAGATAAGCCACCTAAGGGGGGCTGGGGTGTAGATACAGTGCTCTCGCCGCACCCCCCAAGCCTCCCCTTCCACACTTGGCTCCATTATCACTTTCTCTTCACTCAGTGGGGACAACACGTAGACGCTTCACTGGCTGACTGTTGCGGGGCCCCTGGGCAGTCAGTGGTGATAATTGAAGGAAGCGTGCACCGTGCACCGACATTAGCTCTCACTCTGCTTCTCCCCACCCCCTGCACTCGCGCTGAGTGCCATGGAGATGAGACGAGCTGAGCCTGTGGGTGAGATACACTCCTTCCCCTGCAGAGATGGAGCAGGAGATTAGTGCCTTCCCGCCCCTGCCAGCCCTGCCCTGGGCCGCGGTGACTCCCTGGGTGCAGGCTGCAGGCTCTGTCCCCCCTTCCCTCGCTCTGAGCTCTGAAGAAACCTGCCCGCAGGTCCTTGCTCCCCAAACCCCTGCCCCAGGGAGTGTGTGTTCCTGAGTCTAAGCCCCGTCCCCCACCCGCATGACAGCTTCTGGACTGGCTGCAGCTTGGTCCCAGGGGGTCCCGATGGTGAAGCCAGTCAGTCCTCCTCTCTCTGCCCAGTCTCCCTCACCATCTGGACCAACCGTTTGAAAACATAGCAGCAGCTGGATGGTGCCACCTGCTGGTCTCTGGTTAGAGGCCAGGGGAGGATGGGACTGCTGCTGAGGCTCTCACAGCTGTCCCTGGCCCCTGGCCCCAGAGGGTTGCAAATCACCTTGGCCCTGGCTCTCAGCTGACAGCTTCAAGACTGCTTACAGCTTTGGCTGATGAGGAGAAATCTGGATCAGAGTTCTACCAGTGATTCCCAAGACCTTGAGTCCCTGCTTTCTTGGGAATGTGTGTCCCCTAACCCAGTTCTTTAGCCTTCTGAAAAGCACTGACAGTATTCTGGGAGGTCAGCATCTTTTAAACCACAGAAAAGGGAGCAGAGTTGTAGCTGCAGGCTAAAAATTCCAGCAGCTGCCACAGGAGGGAGGGACCAAAACAACTCCAGCTCCAGGAAGACTCCCGCCAGCTCCCCAGACCAGGAGCCACACCAGCAAACTTATGAAAAAAATATTTTATTCAAAAACACTGTTTACACAAATGTGTGGCCTATGTACAAAGAACAAAAGAATCCCTCTTCTCGGCCCCACCTCCCTTCAGAGATGTTTAAACCTGGGACTCCCAGCCTTCCGCGCTCGCTGCCCTGGCTGCATGTGGCATGGCCTCTGAGGGAGGACTGGGCAAGGCTGGGAGCAAGGCCTGCTCAGACCATAGCTGGTTATGCAACAGCGTGAGGCCTCTTCCAGATTCCACCTCCCAGCAGCATCCAACGAGAGCGGCTCTGCCCCACACTCCACATGCCACAGGCATGCAGCAAGTGGCTGATCTGCTGCTGTCTCTTGCCGTGTTTTTTTTTTTCCAGGAGGGAGGGGATCAACCCTACAAGTCCCAGGCCCCCTGTTCACCCACCACATCCTGGACCAGTCTCTCCCTCCTCTCCTGTAAGCAAGGCTGCAAACAGGCAGGGACAGAAGGCCGGGGAGGGGATATATGGTCACGTAGCATGTGGGCAATGGAATCACAGACTCAAAGCCCAAGCCTCCCCCCTCCACCACAAGCTCAAGGACAAGAGACCAAGAAAGTACAAACTCAGAGCAGCTCTGACAGCTCTGACTCAAATTAACCCAGCTCTACCTTGTTAAGGACGTGGCCATGCCCTAGACAAGCTCTGAGAGTTTGCAAAAAGCCTGGAGTCCACATTCAATAAAGTATAAAATATTACTCAAGCATGAACCCCAATCTCTCTCCTGAGGGAAAGCATCAATTAGACCAACACATGTGCACGCGGACAGATGCGTGTACATACGTGTACACACACACGCTTGGGGGCAAAGCTGCTCACTCAGGAGTAACACTTAAGCTTAGAGACATTCCCTGTCTCCCTTCCCCTTCTTGAATAATTTCATTCAAAAAGCTGCTAAGCAGATAAAGGATGTGGGAGGAACAGGTTTGCCTGCTTTGAGTACCTGCAACAACGGAAGCTCAGTCTCTTCCACGACAGAGACCCAGTGGGCTCTCAGATGTCTTGATCTGAAGAAGGCGGCTGCTACTGCAGCCACAGATCACGACTGCGGAGGCGAGGCAGGCACACACAGCGCGCACGAACAACACACACGCACGCGTACCCAAGCTGCCCGACAGAGACCCAGTGGGCTCTCAGATGTCTTGATCTGAAGAAGGCGGCTGCTACTGCAGCCACAGATCACGACTGCAGAGGCGAGGCAGGCACACACAGCGCGCACGAACAACACACACGCACGCGTACCCAAGCTGCCTGCAAAGGCGTCAGCGTGCACAGCAATACTAAAGTCACAATATGACCTCTCCACATTGAATACTGCTGCCAAAGAGAAGTATGGGATTCAAACACTCATGAGAGGGGGCCTCTGGCAGTGGCGAAGAGACCAGCGGGGGCGGAGAGGTGAGGGTCAAGACTACCCATGGGTCGGCGTAAGAGATCCTCCACGTGCCGGGCTACATCCATGGTCTCATCCAGGTCGAATTCTCCATCCTGGTCGAGGACGGGGTCAGGACTGGTAAAGAGAGGGACGTCAGAGGGAACTGGCATGTCTCACAGCCCCAAGGTCTTGGGGGACAGCCCCCGGCTGCTCCCCACTCAAACCAGAGTCTCATGGGGACAGGGCCAGTTCTGGCCAACCCCCCCCACGAGCTGGGTAGCAGTCACTGGCTCCGTGGGAGACACCCCACTTCTATTTGCATCTCTCGCTACCTCATTGAATGACCTCAGGGAGTTCATTTCCCCTCTCCTTGTCCTCACTGGCTGGGCCAATGAGCCCTGCCCACCTGCAATGCTATTCAGTTAAATCGGAGGCAGCACGCCATGCACTGAGCAACGTGGCCTTGTTAGGAAACTTGCTCTGGGCCACCTGCCTGGCAGGTAGCGGAGGCAGGATTGGAATCTGGGTCATTGTGACTCCCAAGCCTGTGGTGGTCCCACTGTAGCTTGCTGACACCCCTACATCCAGCCTAGGCCCACCCACAGCTCAGAAGAGAATTAATTCTCTACCCTGTTCCACCCGACTCCTGAGAACAACCACCCCACGAACAGCTACCCTGTATCAAGCCCTTATGACAGCCCCACCTGTGTAAAGGCTTTACCTGCACTGGCTCACTTAATCCTCACCGCAATCCATGAGGTAGGTGTTTATGACTCCTTTTACAGATGAGGAAACTGAGCACTAGAGAGGCTCAGTAATTTTCCCAAGGTCACACAGCTAGTCAGTTACCAGAGTCAGAACTGGACCCTGCTACGTGTAGCTTCAAAATGCTCTATGCCTTTTCCTGGCCGACACTGCCTTCCCTGCCCAGGCTGGGTGGTCTCAGACCTAGAGGAGCTCTGGGTTCCTCCGTCCACCAGCCCGCCA